CCACTGATTGCTTTTGGCAGCTGGAGGGGCTGGGGTAGTGGAGGAGAGCACCAAGAGGGTCAGTGTGGATGTTAGGAAAAAATTATTCTTAGAAAGTGTAGTGAGGCAATGGAACAGGCTGCCCAGGAAGGTGGGGGAGTCACTGTCCCTGGAGGTGCTTAAGGAAAGTGTAGATGTGTCACTGAGAGTTGTGATATGGTGGGGACGCACTGATGGTAAGATTGGGTGATCTCTTAAGTGCTCCAGGTGGGAGCAGATGGCCCTGCAGAGAGCCCATCAGAGTGCACTGAGGTATGGCAGGTCTCATCTGCCCAAGAGCCACCTCCTTGGTGAGCTCTAACCAACACAGCTGTGATGGGGGGGCACCAGGGACTGCAGCATCCCATGAGCTGCATCCCTAGCCCATGCAGAAGCCAGCCCCTCCAAAACATGTTCCCGGGGTCCAGTACTTCAGTGTGGACTCTTCCCTCCTGCTGGAGGGACACCAGATCTTCATGAGGGAGGGAAGTAAAGAGACCCTGAAATACCTCACAGCTTCCAAGAAGAGGTGTGAGAACATGGGCTAGTTGCAGGCATCTGTTGCAACTGCAGCAGCTGAGCTTGGCCACAGATGAGCAGTTAGCATTATTTACTATTGTACAAACATTCCTGATACATGGAGCATGGAGAGAAGTCATTGAAATCCTGCAGCTCCAAGCAGAAATGCCTAAGGACATTAACAACAAATAAACTGTGCTCCTCCTTTAAGTACTGCTAGGGAGGCCAGTGGGTTCCTGAGTAGCTGCAGTACAGAGACAACTGAGCACTGTTCTGGCTGGCTGCATCTCCCCATGAGGTTTTCTGGTGAGCCACAGCTTGTGCATGTGCAGGCTCTGCCCTGAACTCAGCCATGCCCTTTGGAGAGCCCTAAACCCACCTATTTCCCAGCTACTAGGATGTCACAGTGTGAAATGTTATTGGCATTCCAATCCCAGTGTTTATCACCTTCTTCGCCTTCCTGATTCCTTTTCCCCCAATGCTGAACTATTGTGACAAAGGTTGTCAAGGAGCCAGCTTGTTTGTGTCCAGGAGTAGCCACACTTCTGTAGTGAAGGGGAGCAATTGCTTCTGTTCCTGCAGCTGCATGTCCCCAAAATTTACACCCAGAATTGCACACCTTTCAGAACACGTCCTGTTTGGGAGTGATGCTGTTGTCTGCACACCCAACCACAGTTCTTGGTCCTGTGACAGACATGTGACATCCAGTGCATGGATGGCACAGCTGTGAATCCCCCTTTGAAAATCCAATGGAGCTCCTGCTGCTCAATTTGCTGAGATTTTTTTCCTTTTTCACCGAATGCTGCCAACTCTCTTCACCTCCGCACTCTTTCCTACGTACATGTTCTCTTTTTATGTATTGATCCCGAGGAGGAATATAGCATTTTAAGCCCCAAGCTGGGGAGAGAGCCAGAAGAACAGAACCATAAAGAAAAAAAAAGCCAGTGATGGCATCATTCCCATCCCCAGTATGACAGCAGGAACCATTTTGACACCCAGGATCAGATCACGTATCCACTTGGTGATCTCTTCCCACTAACTAGCTTGAAAGAGAGTTTTTTCACACTGGAAATGGAAGGGAGACTCCTTCAGGCCCTGATTGATGTAGTAGTGGAGGCTGAAAGCAAAGTTCTTGCTTCCATCAATGCCCCATGGGACAGCTTGCATCAGCTCTTGGCCTGGGCTGTCCTCCCTCACCCTTCCTTCTCCTTGGAAAATCTTCATGTCACGTTTACTTCAGTCTCCAAATGATTTTATTTTTTTTAATCCACAAGTTCACTCCAGCACCTAAAAATCAAACCGTGTCCTCTCTGCTTCATCTATCATCACTGTCCGTATCGGTGGGAAGCTGAAGACCAGCTGGAGCAGTTATTGATGTCATGTGAGCCCAGATGCAGCATCTGCTGCTGTGCCCGGTCTGCCTGGTGAGCCTGAACAGACAAAACCTGGATGTGTTGAACAAATGCCCTCCGAGAGGAAACAAATGTCTCTGCCATGCAGGACGTGCCCCAGCTCAGAGAAGAGAGTTTAGGCTTACGGAGGGGTTTTTCATCCTCTGAGTTTTCCCAGTGGACTCCTTGGACCAAGCTTCTGAGAAAGGCTCTGAGAAACGGCAGGGAACCCACATAGCTGCCAGGTCACCGCATGGCCCCATTTTATTGCCAGGAGGAGAGCGAGCATCGGCAACGGCGACTCAAACCCTCCTCTGTCCTCCGACGGACGATGTGGAGCAAGGACAGGAGGCGGGAATAGCAAATGCCCCTCCGTGCCGCCCTCCAGAGCCTGATTTTTCCCAGCTCCTGACGCCTCACCTCAATGCTTCCCACACTTCGGTGTCCGCCCTCCCCCCCCCCCGGTTTTCCATCAGCGCAGCCCAGAGGAGCGGCCGCTGTCCATGGTGCTGCCCGCGCCCCGAGCGCTGCGGAGCGCTTCGCCTTCCGCCTCCCGCCTCCCCTGCGCCGCCGCACAGATTGCGCGGCTGACACTGCAAAGGAGATTCGGAGGGAGACCAGCGCAATTCAGAAGGTGCTGCACGTGTGCCGAGATTTGCACAGGGCTCTGCACAGGGTTATGGGGCGGCTCCCACGGGAATCCCGCTAGCTCTGCACCGTAGGAGACCAGGCACAGGGCTGGAGCTGCCTCTGCTTCTCCCAGCGCTGTTTCTGCAGCCCCTGCGCAGGCGGCGAGGAGAGCACGAGCAAAGCCTCATTCATTGTGGCAGCAGAGTCCCCTGGGCTCTGTGTTCGTGAGGACTCTGTAAAAAATTGGTTTTATCAGTTTGCCAGCTAAACCATAATACCAGAAGGGACGAAAAGCTACTTGAATGAAACATTTCATCTCCTGTTTAAGTTCGGATAATCCCACAACAGAAGACCTCAAAACAAATGTCTCTTCTAAGTGGAGAACAGGGACTGTTTCCTCCCAACTCGCTGGTGCAGGACATTTTGTGCTTCTCAGCATTCAGACTGAGCGTTGTTTCTTTTCTGTTCAAAACCATTCACTGTGAATTTGAAGAGGCTTCTTCCTGCCTGAGCCTGCACTGTTGGTAAATCAGGTGTTGGAAAGGCAGTGTTCTCTCCTTCCTCTCCTATGCGCAGCATCAGCATGCTTCATCCCTACCTTATGCACAAGTAATAGAGCAATTGAATGAAGAAACCACCACAGATGAAGAAGAGCAGGACAGGCAGCTGCACAGTGCTCCCAGTGCATACAACCACCTGAAAGGGCATATGTTCCCAAAACAGCAGCATGCTCTGCTCCCCAGCCTCTGCTCAGGCCATCCTCAGCTCTGTGGGCATCGTGCTGCCCCAGGTCTCCATTCTCATGTAGCAGAAGAGATGGTCAAACAAATTGGTGCTATGAATTTCCACACGTACCACTTCACATCCTGCGTCTTGAGGGGGAGCTGAGAGCACATGTATGAACCCCTGGATTTTCTGTGATCCGTTCAAGCCCACAACTACTCAACAGCTGCATCCTCCTGTTGCGTTTTTCCCTACTTCAGCTTCATCTGGGTCCCTGAAGGACTTCTGGGGCAATCTGGTGCCTTGCTTTGAAGTTGAAAGAGCTCTTTTCACCTTCGCTGTTGCTTTGATTTTCATTATTTACTCTTTTGACATGTGCTTCCTATAAACCCATCATCCCAGAGTGGCTTCTGTGCATGCACTAAAAGCAACATCAGCTGCAGCTGCTCAGTTACAAGGAAATTCCATCTTGGAGCTGCGATGCTTGCAGCTGCCTCCTATGGCTTTGATGCTGCTCAGATCTCATGCTTGAGGGTTGAGGTGATCACTGCAAGAATCAGCAAGGGAGAGCCTGCGTAGGAAGAGCCTTGCAAAATCTCCTGGGTGCACTGCTGTTATTTATTGCTGTGCTCCTGTAGCCCCTCTCATCCCCATTGAGACTGGTCCTGGCTGGAAGACATTGAGTGAGCAAGGGGAAATGACATGCCCCTGTCCTGCCAAACTGAGTCAATGAGACAGTGGTTACCAGCATGCTACCAGTGGGGAAGGAAGAGATTTTCCTGTATCTGGGAGGGAAAGGCTATGGCAGAGCTGAGGGAACTCATTGCCCACGGTGGCAGTTCATCAGATGGCATCAAATTCCAATTTGTGGTCTTACCAGAGGGTGGTGAAGCACTGGCACTGATGCCCGAGAAGCTGCGGGCACCCCATCCCTGGAGGTGTTCAAGGCCAGGTTGATGGGGCCTTGGGCATCCTGAGCTGGTGGGAGGCATGGCAGAGGGTTGGAACTGGGTGGGCTTTGAGATCCTTTCCAACTTAAGCCACCCTGTGATTCTATGATCTCTGCAAGAGACAGGAGCAGGCCCTTTGAGGAATAGGCTCCTGCGTGTCATGAGCTGTTACCACTAATGAAGGATAATTATTTTTCTTGCATGTAGCTGTAACAAAGTTGATTCCCAATAACTTGGACCTACAATGTGCCAAGAAGGAATCTGTTACTGCTGTTTACAAGGAGAATGCCAGCAGCAAAAATAATACCCGAGATGCTTGGCAAACCAGGAGAGCAGGAGCGAGGAGCAGCAGAACAAAACCCTCAGCGCCTCATGCATCTCACAGCTTATTTTCACAGGGCAGCAGCCCAACAGGTGGAAGAGGACCCACTGTAACACCATATGCCTTGCGTTTTTGTTTTCCTTTTTTTGTGACGATGATCCGCTCTAAAAATAAAATAAAATAAAACACTAAAATAAATGGAGAAGAAGAAATCTCTATGCACTAAAAGCAATAAGGCGAGGATCTCGCCGCCCCCCGTTCCGCAGAGGGGCAGAACCAGCCCGCCGCCAGCTGCCGCTGTGGGCTCCCGGGGCGCGGTGCCGACAGCTGTGTGACGGGGGCTCTCCGAGGAGCCCCCCCGCTGCCGCCCGGCTCTCTGGGGGCGGGAGGCGGCCCCTCGCGGGGAGCTAGGACCCTGCGCGGAGCCCCTCCTCCGCCCGCCGCCGACTCGCAGAAGAGATGCCCAACTTTCCCCTGCCTCCCCGGCGGCGCGGAGCCGGGCGGGAGGCGGCGGGGCTGGAGCGCGGCGCAGCGGGTATCGGGGGGGTCCCGCCGCCGCCGCTCCCCCCAAGCCCGGAGCCGGCCCTCGCCTCGCCGAGATGCCCGCGATGGTCCTGCTGCTCTGCCTGGCCCTAGGGCCGGCGCTGCGTTCTGCCAGGTAAGCACCCCGCCGGCCGGACGCCCGCTGCCTCAGTCTCCCGTCGGAGTGATGGGCGAGGAGCGGGCTGGAGTTGCGGGGCGGCTTCAGCGGGGGGTCTGGGCACCGCCGTGCCCCCGCGGCTCCTGGCAGCCCGCCTCGAGGCTCCGCGTCCCGGCGCTCCGTGCCCGCGCGGTGCCTTTGCGCTTCGGGTCCCCATTTTGGACGCCCCGAATCGAGGGGACGCCCCGTTCCCCACATCGCCATCCCCTCTCCGGCCGAATCCCGCCGAGGGCTGAGCTCTGGAGGGGGCGACCGAAGGAAGCTCGGCACCTCCCGGCCGCTCCGCGCGTCACCGGAGCATTTTCACCCGGAGCTGCGCGGGGCGGAAAGCAGCGCGGGGCCCCTCCGCTGACCCCCGTCCCTCGGCACCTGTCGGGAGGGTACGGCTCAGGCCCTGCCCCGCTCCACAGGTTGGCCCCGGTGTCCATCCTGGAGCGCGGTGCTGCGCGGATCGGGGCGAAGGGGCAGCGGAGGCGGGGGCCGCGGGCACGGCTCTACCCCAGTGCCGGCGCTTCGTAGCGCCTTTCTGTAAACAGCAGTGAAAGGCCCCGCGCACGAGGGCTTTTCAAGTTTCTTTTTCTTTATTTTTTTTTCTCTTCTTCCTTTTTAATTTCATTTATTTATTTTTTTATTTAGTCATTATTACCGTTTTAACAATTGCTATCCCCTCTGGTGAGTTTAATGGCTAGATCGGGGAGGAACATGTCAGCAGATTGTTGCCCCCGGGGCTCGAGAAAAGAGGGATTTCACTGGCTGAAGCTAATTGACAGAATAAGCCGCCTTAAAGCCGATCAAATCCCATTACAAATGCAGTCAGGGGCAGGGAGCACGAATCCTGCTACTGATGGTCTTCTCTGCCAGACTCCCTGGTCTCAGGGTGGGTAGGTCGGTCCCTGCTGCTGTCCTCCATAGCCCGGCCATGCCAGCACGGAGACTGAGAGAGCAGCCCCACAGCTCATGCCTGGCACCCAGGCTCTAATTGGGTGGTTCAGGGCTGAAAGGGACCCGTGGTGATCGCGGTTCCTGTCTTGCTATGCTTGGAGAGGACAGGCTGCAAAATTGCATGGAGGTGATGTTAAGTTATGTATTCATGTGCCCTCGATTGAGAAGCTGTACCCTATGGCTGGCCCAGGTTCCCTTCTGCCTGCTGCCAGTACCTACTTCTTCACTGAGCTGCAAGAAGTGGCTGTGCTTGGTGTGGGGATGATGGAGTAACAGAGGAAGACCATGGGAGAAGGAGGAGTAAAGGAACAAGCGGTACCTCTGGGTCTCATCCTGCACTCACTGCATTTTTCTGGCTGCAGGCGGCTCTATGTTTACAGGGGGTGTCCAGGTGATGAGCTCAGATCAGATGCAGTGTGTACAAGCTCTCATCTCAGCAAGTAGTGTGAGACCCTGGTGCGGGATGGGCTGGATGTTCTGTGCTGTGACTCAGCACTCCCCAGGCCATTTCCCCATCAGCATTTCCCATGGCAATGCCTGGCTGGGACCAGGCATCCAGCTCAGAGCCCTGGAAGTGTATTCCAGCACAGTGTTGCACATCCAGAAAGCTGGCACCAACAGTACAGGCTTCAGTGGGTGTGCTGTGCAAGGAGAGGTACAATGACAGGTGCAACAGATCGAGTACTGTTCGAGTACACTGAGCCCCCTGTCCCTAAATTCTCTGCCTACTTCTAATTTAGATTAATTTACCTGAATGTTCTCATGCCTAAAAGCCCTTGGAAGCACTGGGATGGGTGACAAGGACACATTAGCATGCAGTAATTGGGATTGAGCGCAGTGTTGTTTCATCCAGGTGAAATGTCCTTGCACTGTGTTGCTGTCTGTTCTTGTGGTGCAGGCGAGGCATTGAGCTGCGTTCTCAGGGGGGTGGGACACTCACAGCCTGGGGTCAGCACCTTTTTCTGGACATCTCTGCTTCAGGACTGGGGATGGTGTGCAGGGCAGGCATCAGCACTCCGATGGTGGCAGCTTTTAGTGTGAAATGCTAGCAGCCCCAGATTTTGTCAGCACACCCAAGGCTGCTGAACAGGGTCGTGGCAGAGCTGGGAGAAGCACTCAGTTCTGCTGGTCTCCCTGCGGTTCCCCAGCCCACGTCACCAGGGCAGGACAGAGCTGAGATCCCCAGCAAAGGGGCAGAAGGGCAGCAAATTCTCAGCAAACTGGGAACGCACCTGCTGGGAACTACTTAGCTGGCCCTGCTTTTAATCTGCCCATCAGTATGCTTGGGAACTTCAGCAAAACAGGTGCCTGCTCAAGTAAAACAGAATAAGGGAGGGAAACAACTGGCAGTGTCCTGCAGTAATGCCCAGGGTTGCCCAAGGAGGGTTGTCCAATCCCATCTGTACACATGGGCAATCAGACAGGACACTTCCCAGCCATGCTGCCTGCTCAGAGCAGGACTCCCTGCAGGTCCCCAGCTTTGCCCTGCGGTGTCCCCATGCCCTCCTGTGCTGCTGTCCTCATCGCTGCGCTCCCAGCTGCACCCTGTGGCTGTGAGCAGCAGTGCTGTGAGGTGGCTGTTTTGACATTTCCACAGCAGAGGTGAGGAAATGTGGCTCTGCCTTTCCTCCTGGCTGCACGGAGACATATGGGAGCTGGCTTTCCCCTGTTACCCAGCCAAAGCCGCGTTGTGTGAGGAGACAGAGACGCAGGGACAGCACTGTGCACAGGAGCATTGGGCATTGCTGCAGGTTTGCTGTGTGACATTCCCATCTGCAGCTGGAGCGGGACATGCACAGCCTCCATCCCTTAGCTCCTGTCCTCTGCGATAGCTCCTGAGCTCTTCCCTCGTGGTTTGAACTGGGGCCACTGGGGTGGGGGCTCTAGAATGGCACCAGAGTCATATCTGGCCATGAAGAGCTGCTCTGTGTTTCTTACATGCATTCACCGAAAGCATATTTTCTCCAGCAAAAGCTGGCTTGCTTATACTAAAATGGCTTAGTGTGGTTTAGTAGCCCAGGATTAGCTGCATTAGGGAAAAAAAGAAAAAAAAAAAAAAGAGAAGAGAAGAGAAGAAGAAAAAAAAAGGAAAAAATATTTTTGGTAGTGTCACTGCATCTGTAATATGGAAGTGGCTCCTACCACAAATCACAGGGTGTTCAGCAACAGTGCAGAATGGGGAAAGCCAGAAAGCTGAGGTCAGGGTATGCAGCTTGGCCTGGTTTAGCCCATGGGGACATTTAGAGCTTAGCCACTGCCCTAGAGATTCAAGAGCTGGGTTGCAAGGGGCTGCATGAGGGCTGAGTGCCAGTGGGTGATGTATCCAGGGATGGGTCCCAGCAGGGTCAAGGGAACACTGACATGAGATTTTGCTATGTTCCCACTCCGCTGAAGGCAGCAAAGAAAACAGCTGGGCTCACTCTCCCTTGCTGGGCTGTGGGCAGAGACACATCCCTCCATGTCCCTCCTGTCCCCAGGAGCCAGGTTTGGGGTGGGTGCAACCCCAGGACTTGCGGAGCTGCCCCTGGGCTGCAGTTGAAAGGCAGCGAGTTGGCACTGCTGCAGCTTGGGTAGGGAAGCACAACCTGACAGCCCTGCTTAAGACTCCTTAAGCCTCGTTAGGAAGCGCAGCGCACAATCAGACAGGGAACAAGGAGCTGATGTAGCAGCACCTAACGTGCAGAGGCAGGCAGGCAGCCGCACACAGCCCAGCCCTGCTGGGAGATGCTTTCCAGCACCTGAAAGCTGAGGAGACGCCAAGGAGTCAGAGTGGTTGTGAAAGCAACTTTCATCAGGGGTTTAAAAGAGGAGCTTCTAATAAATGAACGGCAACACGTCAGCGTAACACTTTTTTTCCCCTCATCATCTGCCTGGCTCTGAAGGCAGCTGTGCAGGGAGGTGCCCGCTCGCACCTCGGAGCTGTGGGCTCCAGCTGAGAGGTGTCAGCAGCAGGCAGCTCCTGCTGAGTCCCTGCCTGGCACCGCAGTGCTGACACGGCAGATGATGAGCGGGGTGGGATGTAGGATCTCTCGGCATCCTCTCACCTGTATGGCTGTGTATTCTGTAAGGACAGCGTCGTGATTGAGCTGCCCAGAGTGGTGGTGGGTGGTTTGTTCTTTCCCTGTGACCACGTGGGCATAATTTAATTAGATGGGGGTAGGAAAACTCCTTTAGGAGAAGGAGAGGTACGACATGATTAGAAAGGGCATTTTTGATAGCGATGGGGAGAAACTGCTGCTCGGTGCGATGTATCCAAAGGAGGACGAATGCTGGCTTGGAACTGAAAGATATTCCACTTTTCCCATCTTTAAGTGGAGAGGAAGGGTTGGTGGGCAGGGAATGGGTCATGGCAGATCATGGCCCGAGGTCAAAGGAGTTTGCATAAGGCTTTAATTTCCCAGGATCTGTGCAGGGCAGATGGCTGCGTGCCTGGTGAGCCAGGCCGGTGTGCTGCCTGCTTGGTAGCTTTAGGACCTCATCTCTGAAGTGTTTTCTTTACAAATACTTTTTTTTTTTTTTTTTTTTTTGCCCCATATACTGTTTGGTCACTATTGTCTTCCCCTGAAGATGCCCACTCCAGGTGTCAGCAGCCATGAGCCCAGCTGAAGCTCCTGGGACCCTGCAATGAGCAGAGGTGTGTCATCTCTGCAGTACTGCTGAGAGGAGATCCCCGACCATCATCCTCCTCCTTCCCCTTTAATGCCTCTGAAACCCAGCTGTGCCCCCACTCCCACTGAGGACTACAGAGATTTCACAGTGATGTTTCTTTTGTCTCTGCTCCAGGTGTGAGAGCACAGAGGAGTATGATTACGATTACCTCAGCATCAATAAAACCTGGGTCCTCACCCCCAAGGCACAGGAGACAGATGCCACGCAGATCCTCAACTCACTTTTGAAGAACTATGACAACAAGCTGAGGCCTGATATTGGCAGTAAGTGTCCCTGAGCTCTCATGGGCAGCCTGGCAGTGGGTGGTGACCTAGCCCAGGTTTTCCATTAAAAGAATGAGGCTGCTGTAGTTGGGCTTTTTGGTCAGATGGAGCCGCTCTCTTCTCCCTGCTGCATGCCTACACCTCCCCCTAGTCCTTCACTAGTGATTCTGGCCCCTCTTACACTTGTTTTATTTTCTTTACAGTCAAGCCCACGTTTATCGATGTGGATATCTATGTGAACAGCATTGGGCCTGTGTCTGTCATCCAAATGGTGAGTGGTATTGCTGCTGTAGGAGCTGAGCACTGCAATTGAGGGCATGGGATGTGGGAGGTAGCTGGCCCTCACTGCTGGCTTATGACCTGCTGGTGTCATTACAAGAAAGGCATTGAGCCCTGCAGCGTGTCTAAAGAAAGGCAGTGGAGATGTGAAGGGTCTGGGGCACAAGGGGAGTGGCTGAGGGAACTGGGATTTAGTCTGGAGATCAGGAGGATCAGAGCAGACCTCGTTGTTCTCTATAACTCCCTGAAAGGAGACCGTGCAAGGTGCAGGTTGGCCTCTTCTCCCAGGTAATTGTAATAGCTAATGGCCTCAATTTGTGCCAGGGAAGGTTCAGGTTGGAAAAACTTATTTTCTGGAACGGTGGTGAGACACTGGAACAGGCTGCCCAGAGAGGTGGTGGAGTCACTGCCCTGGGGGTATGCAGGAAAAAGTAGCTGTGGCACTGAGGAACATGGTTAGTGGGCATGGTGGGGATGGGCTGATGATCGGATCAGTTGATCTTAGAGGTTTTTTCCAACTTTAACCTTCCTGTGGTTCTAAGAGATGGATTTGTTTGATTTCCTTGGGAAGCGGTGCTCTGACCACTATTCCTGGTCAGGAGCAAGGTGAGCTCAGTGATCCTGCCATCTTCACAAGCTTTCTCATCTCCACTAGTCATGTGTGAATGGACATCTCTGCCTGGTGCCTCTTCCTTCCTCCATGAGCACCAGGATGCTTTGGGTGAACAGCACTGCTCTGTTTGATCTTATGCTGTAGTAGATGAGAGAGGGAGAAACTGTTGCCACGTCTGACAAGAAATTTGGGTGTCCACGAAACCTGTGATGCTGGGAGGGGGAAGCAGGAGGTGAAGGCCTCATGTGCAACACTCTGCTTCTGTTCCTGCTGTCTTAGATAATGCCACCATCACTGTGATGGCTTCTGCTCATGGTTCAAGCCTCTGCTGCATTGGGAGCTCTGGAAAGACTCAATAGAGATGCTCCTTGCTCTGCAGAACCTCCAGGCTATGCACTGGAGAGCAAGTGTTGATTATTTTTCACAGGAAGCCTTCATTATTGTTTTCAGTGTGAAGTCATTTTTCATCTTCTGCCAGACTTTGAAAGACAAGGGGCTATGCGACAGAGAGGACAAGGGAGAGAGCCAGGACAGTCTGACTCTTTTTTGTCTCTCTCCATGCAGAATGAAGCAGAAATAAGCCCCCTGCCCCAAAAACAAGGGGGGGGGAAAAAAAGAGTTCTCAGGATAGGTACAAGTAGAAAATTTTCATTGAGGAAAGTCTTCAGAGGATGGAGGAATGGCACTGTAGATGTAGGGCAAGTTTCAATCCAAAAATCATTTCAAAGCAGCCCTTTTAGTCCTTGTATTTGTGTATCTGGTATGCCGAAAAAGAGCCACAGCCCTTGGTGCCTAACACAGGCTGCATGGCGGCCACCCCTGGCTGCCAGCACAGATCTGTTTTGACCTGCCTGAAGGTGTGCCAAGGAAATCAAACCAAGCCACGGTACATTTCCTCATGTTTCCTCTTTCCTCTTCATCTGTTTCCTTTACCTCTTTATAGATCTCTTGGAGATCTGTGCCACCACACTGGGTGGGGAACAGAGAGTGGCTCAGAAGAACTCACTCAGAGTTCAGCTCTTCCCCAAAGCAGAGGCACTAGGCACTGTTAGTCTGGTTTCCTAAGAAACAAAGCTTACGCCATGGTGATGCAGATGTGAGAAGTATGCACATCCATCCCAGTCCTTCAGTGGTTTTTGATCCACTGGGCTAATAGTCTGGCAGCAAATACTGGGGCTTCAGACATGTTCAGTTATGCAGTACATTGTGAAATCAGGCAGATAAAACAGCCGTCTCCACGCTCCCTGCCCATCCTTGCCCCTTGAAGGGGTCACAGGACTTCCTCCCAGCAGTGACCAGAGATCTGAAGACATCTCCACATGACATCCCCAATTAGACTTTTTTATGGGCATGTCTCCTGCCCCATCCTCTGAAGCAACTTCCCTGATTCAAACCTGAGCTTAACCAACCTTCCTGAGATGCTGGGTTGATACTAAAGGTCCTGAGGACAGCTAGACTTGTCACCTTGGTTGGCAGCCTTCTGCCATCTGCACTGCTGAATTCTTATGGCTTAGGAGAGAGGCTGCACCCACCTGGAACTTCTGAAGAACAAGAAAAGGGCTGTAATGAGGCTGCCACAGTGTCACAGCTGAACTTTGGCTGCTTCATTGGCAGGCTGGCATCAAATGTATGATCCAGGCTGTCTTTACTAGGCATGTATCATTCCCATTTTTAGAGCTTCTTCTGTAAAGGAAGCTCTGCCTTCTCTCAGCTGTCAGGCCTGTCCCATATACCCGATCTTTCCTTTTTCTTTTTCCCATCCACAACTTGAGGGAACACACATTTCCATGGGAAGGGAACCAGAATCTCAGATCTGGATCTCTCCTGAGAACCATGGTGAGATTTCCTTTAGCTGCTCTGCCTGTGTGTCTGTGGTGCCTGCTGCAGACACAGAGCCTCGTGCGAGCTGAAAGGCCTACTGGAGGGGAAATGTTGCAGTGATCTCTTTCAGGTGCATTGCAATGACAGCATCTTGGGTGTAAACATTTCTCGTGCATGAGGCCAAACTGTATAGAAGGTAAACGCCTAGTTTTGCCTTAAGTAATACAGCTCTGTGTCTGTGGCTACTAGGTTAGACCTGTACATCTGAAGGCTGCAGGAGCATCTGATGTGCTGGCAGAGGAGGAGGCTCCAGGAAAACAACATAGTTTGCCTATTGGTGTCCTGTGATCTTTTTCTCGCTCCTCACAGGGTTAACCACTCACTGCTGCCTTCTGCCTGGTGATGCTCTGTCAGTGCTTGGAAGCTGGTCCTGCGTAGCTGCTGCTCAACCTCCAAATGATAAATCATGTCAGGATGCAAAACTGATTCCGGTCCTTAAAAATGAATAGGTGATTTGAAAATGCCCTGTGGCCGGGTGTGAATTCTGCATCCTTCTCATCAATCACTTGTCATAAATAACATTAACATTCAGGAGTCAGCAGAACACAGACAGGTTTGGAAGGGGAAGAAATGTAAAGTGATTTCCTGGTATCTCTTGTAGATCAGAATGGCAGTCTTGTTTCCTATTTAGGTACTTGAGCATATTTTACATTCTCTTCTCTCTGTGAAAAGGACTTTCCAAGCAGTGCCAGCTCTGGGGCAGTCACCAGAAAGAAAGCAAAGAGACGGTTAAATAATAGCAACGGGGTTTAGGAGCTTGTGGCCCTCAGAAGGATGCAACCCTACAGAGGAGGGCTGAGATACAGGTTTGAGGATAAGCCATTTCTATCAGTACCCAGTGCTTCGTGCTCCATTTGCTGAGTGGGGTAGGATTTCCAAAGGGGTACACGTGGCTTCTCTTCCCCTGAACCTGTTGTGTTTGAGGCACCTGGGCTTCCCATGGTATTGAGAAGATGCCTTTGGGGAAAGGCACATGGCTGTGAGCTCTTCCAGTGCTGCCTGCTGCCGCTGGGTGCCAGCCAGCAGCACCTCAAGCCAAATGAGTTATCACCCACAGTGCTTAGCTTTCTAGGCTGTGCCACAGATTTGGATGCCCAATTAGATTCTCATTAACACAGACGGTGTTAGGCATCCTTGGCATGTCACTAAGCCTGGTGCAAAAACCTGCTTTGCTTTTTTTTAAGTCTATTTGTAGGCAGAGATGCCAGGGAGGGCTGTGGTAGTTGGGGATATAAGGATGGGGCTTTGGGTTCAAATTTGTCACTGACTGGTTGTTTGCTGAAGGTATTTGCTCCTGGTTTTGTTTAGTAATGGCATTATCTCTATAGATTATGGCTTTAACTGGTGTCAAGGGCACCTAGAGCTCTGGATCGCCTTCCTTTAGGGATGCTTAACGCTCAGGAAATGGTTCTGTAGAAATAAAGCATTTGAAAAGGTTGGAGCTGAGTGCCTTTCAGTCCTGAGGAAGCCCCTGAAGTGTCTGTGAGGGTCAGCATGGGTAGGACTAAAAAACTGCTTTTGTTCCCAGCTTGACAATGGAGAAATTCCTGCTCTCCAGTTCCTCCCAGAGGTCTGAGTTACTGTGTACTTTTTTTCTTGAGCAAAACCAAGTGTGAGGCTCAAGGACTTTAGGTAGAGAACATGGTGCACTGCAGCAGCCTCCTGATCAAGTGGAAGGACGTGTGCTGCTCAGCCAGGGGCTTGCCTTGGTGTCTTCAGGTGCTCAGGCTTAGAGGTAGTGAAGGTAGAGTTCTGTGCTGGAGAGACTCCTCTGTGGTGCATGTAAGGGTGTTAAAAGCAGAGAAGATGCCCCTGTATGTGCGATTCTGTAGCCAAATTTGATAAAAGACCACATTGGTCTTAATGATACCAAAGACAAAAAGAGCAAAACAGTGCTCTGCCATTCACCAGGATTGCCAGGTTCTGCTGCTTCTGAAGTGTGTGCGATTTCCATGGGGTAGCACTGAGCTCCTGCCTCCACTATTGCAGCAAATTATTTTCTTACCTCCCCCACTGAGGGGGAGACTGGTACCCGAGGAGGTTGATATGTCCAAATGCACGTGTTCAATATTCTCTCCCTCCCCTCTTTAGGAAGGAGAAGCTACGCACGATTAAATTCATAATGCTGTGCCTGGCTGCAGTAGTTACCATGCAACACGCTAACGAAATTGAGGATGAAGAACATATTTTTCCGTGTCTAGAGTATTGCAGAATAGATTTAATAGATTTGCATGTATGATGCATTCGTGAAACCCTGGGAAGAAGGGAGGAGGGGTGGGGGAAGAACAGGGGAAATGTTTATTCGTTATCAGATGATGAATAATTAATTTACAAACGTTGTCTTGTTAACTATAAATTAAATCCTCATTTGACACACTTTATAATTTAAAAGTATAAGCACAGCGTGAATGAAGAGAACTCCCCACTGACTCCTTTCATGAAACCCCGAGGAGCTGGAAGGGAAGGTTGGGCTGCCAAAGCTAAAGCTGACATGGGGC